GAAAGGGAGTGAAATTAAGACATATGGGCATAGCCAAGGCACTAGCTATCCAAAAGCTCAAACCCACACTATTTATCCAAAAGAAATAGTCCAATCCTTGTCCCTGCCATGGCCATCATAAATTAGGTAATTCTTTTAATAATGACTATCCCATTACCTTTCTTATCCAAACTTCCTGTTTATTCATGTTATTTTTTTTAAAGTTTTTCTTAATCCGTCCTATTTACACTACTATATTTTCACATGTTAACTTCCTGTCTATTTTGTCATTTTATTATTTCTACATATTTAATCCTTAATTACATAAACAATTATTCATCACATTAGTTATGATCCCACTAGATTTTTTTATTCAAACATCCTGTCTATTTTGTTATTTCTACATTTCTAACCCCTGATTGCACAATATGTCAATCTTCTCAGTAATTCTGATGCTACTTTGTTTGAGTTTTATCCGTCCCCCTTTCTGCTTATTATGGCATTTTAATTCCTAATTGTAATTTTATTAATTTGACCCTTGACCGGAAATTATTCTGGAACTTTCCTACCAATTTATCATAAACACACGAATGTAGTTTCTTCGGAAACCTTTTTTATATTTTAGTGACTACCTTAGTTAAATAAAATTAAAGCAAATAAATGCTTGAGTTCAATGTCCAAGGTTAATATATGAGTGAAATTTCATTTATTTCCAGTATATATAAAAATCCTTAAATACATCTCACTGAAATATGAAATAAGTGACAAATTATCTCACATTTTCATAGCTCATTGATTATTTCATTTATTATAAATAGGTTTACCTATATTTAACTTGCATTTAACGTTGTCATGGTAACATCTCCAAGTTATGCTGCGTTTTGTTTATGTCTATCTATCTATTTTGGCGCGGATAAATTTGAATTTAACCGGAGATAAAGCTTGTTTTTTATCTTCAGCTTTTATTATTACTATGAGTATGGATAAAAATATTTGCTTATTTTCCAGTTATTATCTAAACATTTAAAATAAAATGTGATAATTATCGTTATTTACTGCCCAAAAATTGGTTCATCCCGTTTAAGGGTAGATCAAAGTAGTTTGTGTTCATTAAAACTTTATTTGAAATGGGAGGTTGAGTGAAATATATATATTCTTCATTATATCAGGCTAATTTAAATAAATAAATAGTCATGATCACAATCCTAATATTAATAATAATAACGCCAGCGATAATTGCAGTACAAACGCGAAGGAACAAACCCAAGATCTTTCGATTACGCGAACAGTCCGTTGACTTCTTAACCACTCAATTGTAATGTCTCTAAATTCGTTGTATAGCGCTACTATCAACCACTGCTATTGATAACCACCATCTTTACCCTGATAAAGAGAGACTCACTGTAGATGAGTCATTGGTGAGAACCACTGAAGAGTGACAAACTGGGACGAAACAACTGTCAAATGCCCCTTGGTTTGTGATGAAGCCTATATTGTAATCAATCCAAAAAATCCCTGAACATCCGCAAAGCGTTTATTACTATTACTGTTATTAAGTAGTATAATCTTGTTTGGTTAAAATTTACCATGCATCATCATTTGTAATCATTCTAAATTGTTGAATCTTTAAAACTTTTGAAGCCGAGAATAGTGTCACTCTTCTGTTACATTCATATCTATCTATGGGAATGTCAAATCTACATATTTCCTGGTTTTGTACGTCATATTGAAATGTAGTGAGTTAGATGAATAAGCTTAGGATCGCTACTTTAGTATTTTTATGCGTTAGCTATAATTCATTGTGAAAATAGAGATAAAATTAACCCATGTAGTCATAATGGTACTAAGTTTTAGCATGAAAAGTATAAGAGGTCCTATTTTCCTTAAACTATATATTTAGAATTCTGTAGCCGTTACAGGACTGATCATTAGGTGACAACAGTTAGAGAAAAATTGGAAAGTCAAAAATGGAGTGCTGGGCAGCTGTTTCCTAAGTCCTAGTTTGGAGACTCTTTGTCAGTATGCACCCTCTACCAGGGTTCGAACCCATAGCCTTCGGGTTATGAGGCAAGCTCGTAGATCAATCAGCTACTGGGACCGAATCCTGTTAATCTCAATAGTTAACAATTCAACTAATTGATAGCTATTTACTAAAATCTGTATCATTCACATAAGCTGCAAATGAGTTGATGTCAGGAAACAGATAAACTCTATATTGGTGGGAAAGATTTGTAGCCAAGGTGGATTTAAAGCAATTAGTTCCCTTTATGAATTTCGACAACACAGTAAGAAGACGTAGTTTATCTGAAACGTGTAATGTATTGGCGCAACACATTTCGGACATTCTGATCACACACGTACTTGTCATACACAGTTTTTATATAATGCAAGAAGGCGTGAATAATTACAATACAGGTCAGATTGTTTACAGGACAAGGTCACAAATAATGGGTAGGGAGATAAAAAAGGTGTGGGTAAGAAAGATAAAAGGAGAAAAAAAGACAAGGCAAAGAAGGGGTTGAAAATATTAGGAAGTAAATTAGTCCTTGGTTCTAAATTGAATTACCAAGGCAGGTTTAAGGTGATAACAAATAATTTTTGGACACATAAGACAGGTTTAAGTCTTTTTATGGCTAAGGCTTCAATGAATTTAAGTATGTGGCCCAGCCTCGTTTTATATATCCGCTTAAAGGCACTGTTGAAATCTACCTTATGACCCGTCTCTATAATATGCTTGGCTATAGATGATGTTGGACATCTATTTCCGGGTTCACTTGTGTCTGGTGATTTCATTTGTTGCTGCAGCCACTTTGGAATGTGTTCTGTAGCCCTAACCTGCAGAGACCGATGGGTCCTCCCTATGCACGTGTCTCCACGCATACATGTAAATTGATAAACACAGTGGGATGTGACACAATCGTTTGGATGATGTGAGGGTTTACAGAACAGCATAGTCCTCGTTTTCTCTATGAAGATAAGTTTAGCTGCATAATAGGCTCTATTGTGTCTCCCTACCCATTATTTGTGACCTTGTCCTGTATACAATCTGACCTGTATTGTAATTATTCACGCCTTCTTGCATTATATAAAAACTGTGTATGACAAGTACGTGTGTGATCAGAATGTCCGAAATGTGTTGCGCCAATACATTACAAGGTGGATTTGTTTTAGAGACATTGTATTCTGTGAATCACATAGTTAATTTGAGAAGCTTTCATCATCATCATCATCATCATCATCATCATCATCATCATCATCACTTTCGACATCTTCTTTAGCAATAAGTGGAAATTTGAGAAGGTCACCAGTAGGATCTTTCCGGCAGAGATGATCCTGAAAGGTATTGCTAAAAATATCTCAAGAAATAAGAAGTTGGTGTGCTTAAAAAAAACTATTTATAATATACCATGCCAAGAAAAACTGTAATTTGGAGAATAATTCAGGTGGAGGAGATGGGTCATGTAGTCAGATATAGTTGCCTACTGTCCATAACAAAACATTTTTCCGGCGACAACAACTCAACAACCACTGTTGAGTATACATCAGATCTTAAGCTGTTTCTAGGAAGATGTGGAAATCTCAGGAGTAAGTTATGTAGTCTATCCACGGCAAAGTTCTGCAATAGAGTCCCAAAGGATGCGAACGCACGAGTGACCTTGAGCCGACCAATCAGGAAAAATGCCGGATTTTGCATAAAATTTTACGTATATTTACATAAAAAAGCATAAAAAACAATAAACAGGATATTTTTCTCTAATATGAGATAAAAAAATCTCCCAATTTTGTAGAGGGGTTTCGGTTTTTAAATTGAACCAATTTCTATACATATATTCATCTAGGTGACTGAAAACAACTTCATTTTGAGATCCATTGATCGCTCTGATTCTGTTTTTCAGTCTTCCCCAGAAGCCTTCGATTGAATTGGTGTGAGTACTGGTCCTGGGGTCGACGAAGTCATCAGAATGGTTGACTCGATGATGTATCTAAACCCAGTTGCGATAATCGGTTGTATCCTGCCCATTCATCTGTGTGAATGGTGGTGCCTGGTAAGACGAAACGCTGAATGATAGGGAGGAGTGTATCAGTACTCCTATTTAGAATCAGCTCGATAAACCCTTTGCGAATCTGGGTGTCATAAATTCCTAAAACCCAAACGTTATTCGCTCTGGAACGCCCCCGATTGTACTTCTTCTTGATAAGAACGGTTTCATCGATATGGACGACTACACCTACTCCTCCCAACACCTGAGTAATACTATTCATCTTCCACGAGGGTAAATCTCGACAAAATTGAAACCACTACACAGTAGACGTCAACGTATTAGCTGTTTGAGCCACAGTAGATCGCATCCCGGACTTTAAAACCCAGTAATTGGACAGAAACAAGATATTCATCAAAGACAGTTTCGACTTTTCAAAGAAAGTTCCTAGAAGACAATTAATTCAGAGTGTCACTTATCAGTACTCACACTCATTAGCGCTAGAATAGTGGTAAGCTTCCTCAATCAATGACTAGTATGCGTTCAGGGTCATTGGAACATTCATAAGGTCATTGGAACATTTACAATCCTGGGACTCTATTCTTGTACTTCTCCCTATCCACTAGATTGATATGTCCTGCCAAAATGAGTGAAACGGAAATAATGAATAAACAATATCACTACCTTAAACAACTATTACTTGTCATGTTAATGAGCACTTTGCAAAAGAAAACCTACTTCTTCTCGGAAAATGGTACTAATCACTTTCAATCCTGAAGTACTAAACGGACGCCCCCACCCTTCCAAAGGGAATTCTTTGGAAGAGAATGACTATTAAATATGTAGTGTAAACACAACGAATGGTCCCTAAACACTTATCTATGAAATTCTTCTTCAAATTACGGTTTTTCTTAAAATTCATCTTCATTGTACATGTTCATGTTAACTTTTTAAATTTTCGTCACATTATTTTGCCTACTTGTAAGTAGTAAATTAAATTAACCTGAAGTTGTATGCATTATTTTTTTTCTATTTATTTAGGAGGGAATGGAATGGGTTATAAAGACGGTAAATAGTCGTGGGAAACTGAAATGACCAATTCATCATACCCCACCCATACTCTCACTTCTACTTCTACTTCTGAATCCTTAATCTTACTGACCTGCTTCACTTTTCTTCTACAAAGAGAAAATAAATATGATTCCTTTATTAAAATCCCATTCTATATTACAACCAGTATTGCATAATAACTCGTTTCTACTCATCTTGTGGAATATTGAACCGAAAAAAAAACAGTCGTAATATCCAATCAAACTGAAGTCTACTGTACGATGCAGTAGAATGGCCAAACTTCATTTTCAATCCGAATTGAACCAGTAAACAATGAAACTGTCTGATTCGATTCTATTCGCTTCGATGAGTCATTGTCATTTTCTAGTTTTGCTGTGTTTCCACATGTTCTTCTCCACAAACAGGGCGTATATATATATCTATATACATATTTCATGTTTTCTCTTTTTATTTTCACATTCAAATATACTGATAAATACATGTGAATACATTGCCATGTGTACATAGACTGTGTATCACGAATAAAATAAATGCTTTGAATTGATCAATTTTTAATTCTAATATCAATTCTATGTCAATCAAAGTCCACGTTGTATTGTAAATCCTGTGGGTAGGTGACGCCAGTCACCATCAACGGGAGGGATTTGAAAAAGGTTACTTCACTCACTTATCTAGGGAGCATTGTCTCAACTACAGGAGGAACGGACGAGGATGTCAAATCGAGAATCGGGAAGGTGAGAAATACATTCATCCACCTGAAGCCAATCTGGAAATCTTCGTCACTCAGCCTGCATCAACAACAAAATTCGGATTTTCCATACAAACGTCAAGTCAGTCAGTTCTTCTGTACGGATCAGAAATTTGGCGGGTCACAAGGAATATTTCCAACAGCCTGTTGCAGACCTTTATCAACAACTGTCTTCGTTCTATACTCAAGATCAGATGACCGGAAAGAATCACCAACAAGAAACTATGGGAACAAACAAAACAAGAACCAATCGCTCAACAAATATGCAAGAGAAAGTGGAGATGGATTGGACACTCGCTGAGGAGGCCACTGGGTGGCATCGCGCGTCAGGCCAATGCTCGAGTGGAACCCGAAAAGGAAGCGGCGAGTGGGACGTCTAAGGGTGACATGGAGGAGATCGTGTGAAGAGGAGCTGGAACAGTATGGACTAACATGGATGCAGGTGAAAAGTACAGCAGAAGACGGAAGCAAGTGGAGTTGAATCGCTATTTTCCACTAGGAACCCAAGGGAACAATAATAATAATAATATAGTGAAGTGGAATACGTCTTAGGTGAGAGGATAAACATTCTTATCAAATAACCTAAGTGTTATTCAGAAGCTGTAAAAAAATTCTATCATCTAGGGTCTCGAACCCCCAACCTCCAACTGCTTTGCACACTGTGATACTGAATAACGTTCATTTATCTACGTTGTTAAATCGCTGATTTGATCATTTAGAAGGATATTTCAGTCCGGAAAACCACAGCGTCGTTTTTACATCCCTTAATTACCTATACAAATCCAATTTCAACTGCATCTTGGATTAATGAATGACACACATTGACTGGACGCTACTTAGTAACTAGTGTAAGGTGTCTAGTCCTTTGTCCGATACAAACTAAATTCCATCAGTCAAGTTTACAATGTGGCCACTATTCTAGGTGGCTTGCCATCATCTTGTAGTTTAAATTATTAAAAAGACGGTTGTAGAGATGAAAATTTTCTTTTCGACGAATTCATCGTCCAAGCTGTTGTACATTCATGTATTTTCGGTGAATAATAATAATAATAATGATAATAATTTACTTTATTCCAAAAACAGCACTACTTATAATGCAGAATGGAATTCTCAGCATTTGTCACAATATTACATCTGATTTACTCAAAATATATATAAAATTAAAAATTAAAACAAAATTAATCGGAGGAATTTCTCCACATTTACGACATAATTATTAGATATAATAATAATAATAATAACAGTGAGTTTAGTTCAAACAGTATTGTCGATTCAGTTTGGAAACTTTAGCATGTTATAGATTATTGGGTCTAACGTTCTGTTGATATAGTATAGTGAGGGGAAATACAAAATTAACAGTTATAACACAGCTTAAATTATGTTCACACTTATAGAAAAAATAAACAAAACGAAAAAATTGAGAGGTTTATATATATAAGAAATACAATAACAATAATGTATGATGCTTTAAGGGTGAAGGAAATGGTTTATTTAGTAGTGCAAAGAAGGTTAGTTAGTTCATGTCTGACACTATTTTCATCACATAAAGTACGTGCTAAATATTATTGTATAGTGGAATTTTTATACTTAGACGTACGTGCATAAATTCTTCTGAAAAGACTTCTTGTTTTACCTGAGGAGACACAAGGTTGGAACTGCGGGTGGAGTGGGTGCTCAGAGTCTGACAAAATTCCTTTAGCAAATTTGTTGCATGACATCAAGTGCCTATCAGTGACAATGTCAACGATATGGCCCAATGGGATACCACTCGTCCTACTGACAGTCTTCAGAGTTCTACGAAGTATGACGTAGTCCTTTTTTAGCAATCCAGGAAAGAATAATGATGAACAGTAAAGAAGAATAGGTAAAGTACACGAGTTGATAAACTGTAAGAGGAGTGGTTGAGTTATGCCTGAGTGCCTTAACTTCTTAATGTAAAAAGTCAGACGAAATATTCTTTGAGAAATCGCTAAGATATGAGAGGACCAGAATAGATCAGAAGAGAGAATTAAACCAAGATACTTAACTTCAGACTTGGTTTCTATATCAGTATCATCGATTTTGCAAGGGTTATATGAACCAACGGCTTCATTTAACTTTCGTTTACATCGGAAACTGAAATTAACAGTCTGACATTTGGAAGAATTAAGTTTAAGGCCGTTAGACGAAGACCATACGCTAATTCCTGATAGAAAGTTGTTAATGTTAATGCAGTCAAGCTGAGAGTTAACAGACATTGAAATAGTTAGATCATCAACATACTTAACAAAGTTCATTTCATCATCAGAGTGAGGCAAGTCATGCAAGAAGAAAGAAAACAGAAAAGGAGAAAGGACAGCGCCTTGAGGGACATCAGCCTCAGTAAGCAATGAAGTGGACGACTTTCCCTGACATACAGTGTATTGCTTTCTTCCTGAGAAATAAGAATGGAGCTATTTGACAACCCAACAGTCAGTTTGAGTTTCAGCAAGCTTGTTTAGTAAAATGTCCCTGGGTACTGAGTCGAAAGCAGATGTATAAAGCTTAATCGATAAAATTAGTAAGTGTAATAATCAGGAAGATCGGGTAGAAGAGACAACATAAGATTATAATTGCTGGAAAATTCGTCAGTTTATATAAATACAAATTAAGGACGTAGTTCTAACAAAATAGGTAGGAAGTTCGGACATATTTATAAAAATAACAAAACAGCAACGAAATCTAGTAATGCAGATAAGAATTAAAAATGTAAATATAACATAAATAAACGGGAAGGTTGAAAAAAAGAAAGGTAGTTGGATAATCATTATTGGTGGGACTGACTTTTCACGAAGGCCACGGTAGGGACAATGGTTTGACTTACTTCTTTTGAATACATAGAGTGATTTAGAGTTTTTCGATCGCCAGTGCCTACCTCGGCTATTCTCAGATGTCTTGATTTCACTCCCCTTGGTAGGTTTGATCGATTATACGTCATATAGAGGGTAGTGAGGAGACAGGAATACGCTGGACCACCGACAAGAAGATTCTAGAAGATCTGGTTTTCGCGTGTGGATGATTTATGTTTAATGTCACACAAACTCGAAGACTTACAGTCGAAAACCAACAAACTGGCAGAAGATGCTGGCTGGCAGTGAAGACAGGACTGTAGGTGAATACGGAGAAGATGGAAGTGATGAAGATTAACAAACAATCAACCAACAGCAACAACAGTCAGCACTAATCACCATCAACGGGAAAAACTTGAAAGAGGTTACCGGGAAGCAAGGTTTCAACCACAGCCAGAGGATATGGCTGGATATGTCAGGGCCAGCCAGAATCGGAAAGGGAAGATACGCCTTCATCAACCTGAAACCAGTTTGGAAATCGTCTGCACTAACTCAGCCAGCGTAAAAAACAAGATGCGGATTTTCAACACGAATATGAAGTCAGTCAGTCAGTTCTTCCATACGAGTCAGGAAGTTGGTCAGTGTCAAGAAAAGGATTCTTAACAAGCCACTGCAGACTTTTATCAACAGCTGCCACCTTCGCCAGATGGCTCCATACTGAAGATTAAATGGCCAGTATATAAATATATATATATATAAAATGGAGGAGAAAATGGAGATCGGTCTGGCATACTTTGACGAGGCCGTCGAATGACATAGCGCTCAATGCAGGCCATTACTCGAGGGGAACCCCGAAAGGAAGCAGGCGATGAATAGTTCAGTGATGCGAGGGTGACATGGAGTAGATCCTGTGAATTTAAGAAGGAGGTGACAGATTATAGTCAATTGAGGACCCATTTGAAGAGGACAGCAGAGAATTGAATAAAGTGGGGATGTGTTGTTGAAGCCCTATATCCCTCACAGAACTCAATGGAATGATAATAGTGATAACTAACAATGTTCTGACTAAGTTGTTGTGATACTGGATTTTTTTTAATAATAATTATTATTATAATTTGCTTTATTCCAAAACAGTACTTGTGATACAGAATAGAATTCTCAGCATTTTTACTACAGTATTGCATCCAGTTAGTACATTATCAATAAATAGAATTCTACATAGATTAAGGAAATCTCAGTTCATTATGACAACAACATATTGGCATGTCAGTAGCAAAGGTAAAGCTGAACAGTGTTTGAAGGTGTTAGAAAAGCAGATGCTGTCATATTAACTGTCGTAAGCGGAAAAAGGAAAAAAGCGGAACATAACGGAAAAAAAGAGAGATAGAGACAAGGAAAAGAAAGAAAGAAAGAAAATTTTGTAGCCATAAATGATATGAGTTGGAAAGACGAGGTCCAGTTGTACTACTGACTATTTAATGAATTATGGGTGTCACGCCTATTGCTTTCTTTATCGCACAGAACACGAGCTAAGTAGGGTATGGTTGAGTTTTTGTACTTGCTGCTGCGAGCATGTAGTTTTCTATATAGGCTTCTGGTTTTACCTGATGAGATGCAAGGGGAGAGTTGTGAGTGAAGAGGGTGGTGTGAGTTAGATAAAATGGATTAAGCCCATTTTTCACATGAGTCCATGTGCCTGTCGACCAGAATATTAACAAGCTGGTTAAGTGGCACGTTGCTTACCCTGCTGACAACCTTTAACATCCTGCATAATATGTTATAGTCTTTCTTCAGTAGCCTGGGAAAAACTAAGGGGGAACAATAGAGAATAATAGGTAGAATGCGAGAGTTAACGAATTGTAGGAGTAAGGGTTGGGTTTTCAATTGTATATCCTGTCCCATCCATGACGATTTTTTTAATATAGATCTTTTCATTGTGCTGTTAGTCGTTTTCACTAGAGAAACATCTAGGATAGATATATACACA